AAAAATGTTTCTGTTACAGGGTTATATTAATTCTCATGGTCTTTTGGGTGATAAAGCTGTAACCAAATTATTTAAAATGGCTGGGGACTTTCGCCCTTCAGTCCGTCATTGACAAAAATTCTCATCATTTTTAATAATGTATTTCTTCGTTCCTATAAAGCCTTTTATTTTGTCTTCCTTGCCATGGAAGTAAGTTTTGAAATGCTCTCTAAACAAAACAATAATTGCTTTATATATGCAATAATTTAATTTATCGTTTTCTGTAATGATTATGTCGATAAAGAGAACTATTTTAAAAATTTTTAAGTTACTTTCTTCCAAAAATTTTCTTTCACTTTTTTCAATGGTCATATTCTTTCAGTTTTTGAAATTCTACCTAACAAAAAATCTGAATCAAAATCCAAAGTCACCGAAAGAAATTTTTTAAGGATTAAAACAAGGAAAACATGAAATATTTTAAAAATTGTCAATATTTTTTTTTATTGTGAAAATAATTTTATGTGTGCACATCACAAATTTTTAACAGTTCTATAATTATTAAGTACTACACCAACAATGTTTGCAAAAAAATTAACATAACATTTAAATTTCGAAACATATAAAAAGGGTAATAAATATTTTTTTATCTAGAAAAAAGTTTACACAAACATGTAATTGCACATAAAGCAGATGAAAAACATACTTTTTAACATCAACTTAAAAAGCTGTATTTAGTATTAATGATCAAAACTAGACTACTATCAGTTACTATTTTCAGAATTAAATCACAAAATTTATTTTTGTTTAAAGCAAAAATATACCATTGCCTGTATTTTGCTCATTCATAATTTATGTTTACCAAACTCAAAAATTTCTTAAAAGTTAAGTGGAATATGGTATTATATCTCACTTTGAGCTACCTTCCTAACTTTTATATGTCACTTTGAACATTAGAAAGCCGGAAAATCTATCTTTTTCACGACTTTCAAAAAGGTCACTGTTTTCTCTGAATCATGTAATGTTAGGTTCTATACAAAATAATATTATTTAGAGTTTGCTGTAATATTTTGCATAAGTTTTGATGCTAATTTTATATTTTCTGTTATTCTCTTGCATAAATTAATATTTTTGGAATAAACAAGAGGATGATTTGGATGGTAGTATAATATTTAAGCAATATAAATTTACTTAATTTTCTGTATTGTTGTGAAACAGTAAAACATGGATCAGTAGCTTTGTCATTCACTAATTGTTTACTTAGCAGTACATACTAAATAATAATTAATTCTGCTATCATTCAGTTCATGGTCTTTTGTGTGATAAAGCTGTAACTAAATGATTTAAAATGGCTGGGGACTTTTGCCCTTCAGTCTGTCATTGACAAAAATTCTCATCATTTTTAATAATGTATTTCTTCGTTCCTATAAGGCCTTTTATTTTGTCTTCCTTGCCATGGAAGTAAATTTTGAAATGCTCTCTAAACAAAACAATAATTGATTTATATATGCAATAATTTAATTTATCGTTTTCTGTAATGATTTTGTCGATAAAGAAAACTATTTAAAAGTTTTTTAACTTACTTTCTTCCAAAAATTTTCTTTCACTTTTTTCAATGGTCATATTCTTTCAGTTTTTGAAATTCTACCTAACAAAAAATCTGAATCAAAATCCAAAGGCACCGAAATACATTTTTTAAGGATTAAAACCAGGAAAACATGAAATATTTTAAAAATTGTCAATATTTTTTTTTTACTGTAAAAATAATTTTATGTGTGCAAATCACAAATTTTTAACTGTTCTATAATTATTTAGTACTGCACCAACAATGTTTGCAAAAATATTAACGTAACATTTAAATTTCGAAACATATAAAAAGGGTAATAAATATTTTTTTATCTAGAAATAAATTTACACAAACATGTAATTGCACATGAAGCAGATGAAAAACATACTTTTTAGCATCAACTTAAAAAGCTGCATTTAGTATTAATGATCAAAATTAGACTACTATCAGTTACTATTTTCAGAACATAATCACATTATTATTTTTTTTTTAAAGCAAACCTATACCGTTGCCTGTATTTTGCTCATTCGAAATTGTGTATTACAAGAATCGTAAAAAGGTTTACAAAAAAGAGGCGTAATATGTAAACCTTTTAATGGGGCATTTTAAAAGAAGAAAATACAAAAATTGAAGAGATACTAAAGTTAAATTTCGGATATTGATGAATAAGCGATAGAAAAAGATATATTAAGCATTTGCAAATTTTGTAGTGGTGGACTTGTTTTTACAAAGACTATACAGGACCTTTCAGATGAAAATTTACACAAGATTCTTTTCTACTGTGATTTAAATTTTTTTTCTTCCTTTTACTATAATGTAGATGTTTTTCAGCTAAATTTTAAACATTAAATCAATCAAAGAATTTTTTTGCTATTATCATTATTTTACCGTTATATTATTTTAAACATAATTGAAATAAAAAATTTATATACTTGTCTCAAATTTCAGTCAAATAATTCAAAATTAAAGTAATAAACACAATTCTGATAATATAAATGCTCGCAAACTTAAAATATTGTTTATTGTCAGTGCTAAAAGAAAATTGCTTCTAATATCATATCTTTACATTTTAATGCAATTAAACGAATACAAAACATTTTGTAACAAATCTATTAATGCAATGAATGGTGACCTTCATATAAAAGAAGAAAACAAATGCCAAGAACAAATTAATAAATAAATCTTAGAGCACATTATTATTTACACAAAAGACTTATCATTTATTAAAGATAAAAGAAAATTCATGAAAAATGAAAAGAAACCAAATTTTTAAATACATTCAACAGTTTCATAAGGAGGAAAGTAAGTACTATTAAGTTTTTTCAACATTATATCTTATAGAGTTTCATCAATGCTCATATATCTGCCAACCCACTTTTTCTATTATTCTAAAAATTTATTGCAAAGTTGCAGAATAAGTACTTGACCTTTTTTTCTGAATTTTTAAATTCTTATTTGAGTTAACAATGAATAAGAATAAAAAAAATCATGTTAAACATTACAACTATTTCAATAAGTAACTATTTAATTTCAAAACTAAACATACTAAGAAATAAACTTCATCCAATTATAAAAGCAATAAATTTTTACCATTATCCTTTTACATAAACATCTCTACAATCTTTTGGTGAAACACAATTTTAAAAAAATATTTGTTATTAAATACGTTTTTATTCTTTGTTCAAAACAGCAATAATGCTTATAATTTTTTTATTACTTTTATTTTTAAGAAATCTTTCTATTAATTTTTAAAAAAAATCTTGTCTGTTTAATATATCTTTCCATGAATTTACCACCATTTAGAATTTATTCTTTCAATTGGAAGTCTTTATTTTTGTTTTTAGTTTTCTATTTATTAAATTATAAAATCTTAAACAATTAGGTAGATTAAATTTAATGAAACCTTAGATATTCTTATGTTTAAATCTAAAATTACTTGTGGGGTAGGTGTTTCTCTTTGTTTGAAAAGTGCATGAATGTCTTTGAAACATTAATTTTAAACTCATGTAGTGTTCTCATTATAATTTGTTTTTGTAATTTTTTTGTACCATTTCATTAGTTTTTAAAAGAGCTTTAATTGTTTTAAAATTAATGGCTTTCTTACTGCTTTAAATTATTTTTTTTATGTAATATCGTCTTTTTAAAATCTTTTCCATTAAAGGGAAATCAAATTTTTTTCAACTATTTCTGAGGCATCCAAAGAGCTTCAAAGGAGACTTTTTGAACTAATTCTGGAAATTCCATGAATCGTGGTGCTCGAGGAAATGCTTCTGGTTTCCACTTATCTAACTTAAACAGGATTGCTGATACAAAATCAAACATAAACCAGAATATGACTTTACTGCATTATATTATTGATACTTTAGAGAAAAAAGTAGGTATTTGTATTTACTTTAACATATAATCATGGTTGCTTTTGTTATAATTTTTTGCCTTTTGCAAAGCCACGTCTCCACTAATTAAACTAAGAAAAATCCAAATCAAGCTCTATTTCACCTAAAAATTTATGTGCAACTTCTTACTGCATTGCAAGCAAAGGAAAGAACACTAAAGTTGCAAAAAGGATCAAAGTTTTGCCTGAAAATATCGATTTACTATGATTTGAGGCATTGAATAATTTTTTTAAAAATAATTATTCAATTTAAAAAAAATATTAATGTATAGTATTTAGTATTTAAAAAATATAGTATATAATTTAGTACTGGTATTTAAAAAAAATATTAAAATTAAATTTTTTCAAGTTAGATAAATGATATTTGTTTACATTTTAGTCAATTTTAAAATAATAATCGCGTTAATCACTTCTGTAAATTTTAAGATAAATACACTAGTGTTCAAAAATGAGAGAGTTTTCATATTTGGTAGCCTATCTCCATTATGACAGACCAGATTTTAATACACTATAAAGTTGATATCTGCCTGGAAAATCGATTCAACAAATATCCTCTCTTTTTAAAGTTTAAACTAGGTGAGCTTGATGGCTGCCTGATTTCCATTAAAATGAAATCACCACACGATTCCATTCTTTAAAGGTTAACATTGAATTTTAAGACTTCATCCATATACCTCACACCAGTCAAAGAACCTCTTTCAAAGACATGGATGGGTCAATGACCATTCAATATTTTGCCTATCAAGACAATCGAACCTCTTTTGCCTTAATGTCCAATTTTTCAGATATCTGGAGACATCAAATTCCTGGTTCTTTCCATACGTAATTATGAATTATTCAAACCAGGCACTTACTATCTACCTACCAACTAAATCATTCGACTGCTTTAGCAGAGGAAGTTTGATAATCTTGGCAGGCATCATACTAAATAATTAAAAATCTTTCTATGTTCTTTAGAGAGGTAAATTAGCTAGTGTGCAGCATATGGATAAATTCTAAAAGCTCTATGATTGCCTTAACCAACAACAGACACTCACTTAAAGCTGTTTGCTCTCGCAATTTTCTAGAAGATATTCGCCAGATGATTGGCCACTCAGATCTTCAGCTTTATAGAACGTAATATAACTTTATAGTTGTACATATTTGGAATGGAGAACAATTAAAATAGAGCTCACAATCTTTACTATTGTCCAGGGTTTGGAAACAGCTTTAATGAGATAGTGGTACCAGTTTCGACAAAAACCCTTAAACTGCTTTATTTCCATTATGAAATCAGAATATCAGCCTGTGTCTCTGTAAAAGTGAATCTTGAACTTTATTAACCTATTTTTCATTTCATACCATAATCACTGCTTCATACATATAGTGCTACACATAGTTAGGGTGTATATTATAACCATCGAATGTTTTTTTTTTTTTTTTTAAATATTATATCAACATATCCAAAACGAATTTCATTAAAATTTACCAATAAGTTCCAGAGGATAATAACCAAATCTGTAAAGTTCTCTAAATTTTTAACAGTGTAGATTCTGACTTTGTCATGATTGCAGCTGAATCTGGCATTTCTTTCAAGTAAGCAATTTTTTTTTTGTATGTCAGGTTTCTACTGATTGCACAGAGCTAAAAAGAAGAAAGAGAATACATTAATAACTTTTGATCTAATGATCGAATTTTCAGGCAGTAGGCAGAGATAAAAGTAGCAATTTTTTCAGTGTCTGCTTAATAAGAATGTAAGGTACATTTTTTTGATAATAACAAATAGAACTCTATCGAAACTTTTGCTTCCAACTGATTAATTTAAAATCATAGTCAAATTAAAGTAAACTTTTTATTTAATTAATTTATTTATTAACCTTTTAAGTTTTAATCTGTAGTTTTCTTTGTGTTAGGAAGTTTTTTCCATGTAATTAGCAAAAGAAATAGTATTAAGGAAGAAATATTCCCTCAAAATTTGTGAAACCTTTTAACAATTAAAATAATTTTTTTTTACAGTTTAAAGACGTTTTAAAACTTGAAGAAGATATTCATCATGTTCGACTGGCAGCAAAAGTCAAGTGCGTACTACTCATATATTTTGTTTTAGTCTGTGCGAAATTTCTTAATTTTATTAATGAAAGATGCTTTCTTTTAATTTTAAATTCTTTAAAACCTTTGTGTTTTCTTTAAGAGTTAAGTTAATACGAGTTTGCAAATTATATGTAACTTAATTTGTATGTTAAAATGTATTTTACCAATATTTATTGCTTAGGGTACACGTACCACACTTTGGGAAGCACTACTCTAGTGATTTAAAACACAGAAGATATACTAATTAAAATTAAATTAAGCTATAAATCTACCTCAGTAATAAATTTCACCATCTTGGTTGTAATGAGATTAGGATAAACATAATAAATGTATGAAATTGAAATTAGTTAGTTTCAAAACTAATTAATTTAGTTATTAATTCATTTCATGAGCCAAAACTAGTACGTTGGTTTAAAATGAAAATAATACCTATTTTATCTAATTGTCACAAATTTTATTTTATAATTTTTTTTTAACTACACGCTTTTTACTTTTTGTGAAATAAAAATAAAAAATAAATAACTATCCTTTTTTCAAAAGTTATTTTATTCTATATTTTGCATTATTATTGAAAAATAATTTCATTTTGATTTTATCATATAAAAAAACTGTATAACAGGCATATTTGAATTTTTAAAATTTTCATTAATAATAACACTTTTTCTTTGATAAAGTTGCTTTTAATTTATAAAAATTGTAGGAAACATTTAAAGAAATTTATTATTTCTTAGTTTCAGACACTTGAGGAAAATAATCTCTGTTGAATAGTGAATAAAATAGAATAAAAAAGTAAATCATTCCTTAGTAATCCAGTTAAAAAAAAACTGAGTTGTCAGTCTTATCATATAAATTATCTCAATCTTTATCATACATATTAATTTCTTTAAAATTATATTCCTCTAAATTCTTTTTGTATTAAAAATAACTAACTTTTACTTCAATAAATATAAATAACTTTTACTTCATATTGTAAAAAGTTTTTGGCATGCAGCAATTTTTTAGAAATCTCAAAAATATTAAATATTGTAAAGTGACAAGAAATAAGAAAATGACAAAAAGAGGAAAACCATTGGCAAATCCTGATCCCAGTAATGACTGGTTCAAAGCTGTTCACAGTACTGGTTTAAAATATTTTCAGTGACAAATTATGATTTAGAGTTGCCCTCAAGCCAAGCTTTAGAATTTTTTGTGGATTCCTTTCCATATATTACACAAATTTAATTTAAAATGTCTTCTCTGAAGGCATATTTGTACCTATGTTTGATCCAGCAGTTAACTTGTCACTTGTCTTCTGACAATTGTTCAAATTTTCAAGGTATAGTTAATTTATGATATATAAGGAAACCTTGGTTAAGTGAACACTCTTGGGGCAAAATTGTCCAAAGGGAAAAAATTGTCTGCTTACAAGGGTTGTCCATTTATAGGAAGGGTACATTAATAACTCCATAAATTTTTTTTAGAATGACAATTGTTGAGAATGTTTTTAGAATAACTCCATAAATTGTTTTTAGAACAATCACATGGAAATAATTATGTAAACTTATTTACACATTTATTTGAACTTTGAAAATTAAAATATTTACAATGCAAAAAGAATAGATGAAATATACTAATTTCTTTTTAAACCTTCATCTGACATATATCCCAGGCTCCAAGCAATCATATTTATCTCAGGTTTTGGTTTGCTTGAGCTGGTTCCAATCTTCAAAAGTGAGCTTGAATAAGTCCTCCAAGAGAAACCTTGTTCCATGTCCTCTTCTTCCCATGCTTTTCTCTGTTTCTTTTGATCTTCTTTTATAACTTTTGTTTTAGTTGTCTTGGAGTTTCAGTTGATTCAGTTTTCCTCTTTGTGTTTTATTTTATTGATTAGTGGTGAAAAAGGTTTTAATTGCTAATTTCTTTATTTAGGCATCAAAGGTCGAATGGTAAGACCTGATATAATCTCTGGCTCTAAATAATCCTATGTATCTCAGGCTCTAGTGGTTTTGGAATATAATTCAGGTCAGGACCTCCATAAGTGAGCTCGAACTCATCTATAATGGGAGACCTTGTTCCATTTCCCCTCCTTCAAACACTGCTCTTTATAGCACTGTTTTTTTTTCTGCTGTGATATTTAAAACTAAGAATTTTTCCACCATTCAGCATAATGTTGTGGATCACCTCTGTGGGGGATGATTTGAAAACTCTCTTGAAATAGTCATCTTTCTATAATTACGACAAAAATTATCTATTTAGTTATACGAAATATATTTATTGAAAAGTTGTAATCTTTAATGAGCTTGCATCTCATCTACGAAATGAGAGGGGGCTAAGGAACTCTCTACCCCACCCCTTCTGTGGTCCCTGTAGTTTTTAAAATACCTTATTCTTATAAGGAAATTCTTCTTAAAACTTTATACATACAGTTTTATTCAAATTCAAGTGATGCAGGGTTTTCATTGAATATTAGTCATAGAAAAAGTCATTTGAGAAATCATTATTAAAAAAACATTTATATATAGCACACCACAAAATATATTTTGTCCTCTCAAACTTCAAGTTTGGAATACTTATGTATTGAATATGTCTTTCTTAAAACATACCTAAAAGAATCTTTGATTCTCATGCTTTCTTAAAAATATTTTCAAAAAATGAACAATTTGGTTTTTACATTTATTTTCACAAATATTTATAATTAAGTCTTAAATAGTATTTGTTTCTGTAAATGTAAATAATTATTTGGTGTTCATAGTTCCTTTTTTATATATCTAGCCTCAATGAGTTCACAAAAGAAATACGGAGCCTGAAATTTGGAAGTACAAAAGGTACACATTTTCTTGAAATATATTTTGTTTCTGTTGTTATTTCTAGTCAAATATTTCCACATTTTTGTCTTAAACTAATCCATTTATTTAATTACTTGAAATGTTGTTATCACCGAAAATAGATATTGTCTAGTATAAATAGTTTATAATTTGTTGTTTCTTATTGTAACTGGTTAGTCATTGCACTAGGAAGAACATAAGCAGATAAAAGAATCTAACATTCTCACTGCATGCGATTCGCATTTGTGGTCTTAAATCAGTGCAATTTGCATCTAGGCAAACATTTGCATATAGCATCTTACACATAGTTCTTAAACTCTCACATGACACGTGTCGTGTGGGCAATCGCTTGCAGTGGGAATGCTTCCTAAGCAGAAAGATAATTTAGATATAAATTCTGCATTACAAGTTCCACCCAAGGAATAAGATTTTGTAGAAGAATTGGAAGTTGTTTAATTTATAAAATAAAACATATTTTTACTAATATTTTATAAATTATGTGATAAGAGTCAGAGAGTTAAAAAATTCTGGCTTTATTACCTAGAAATTAACTAAAGCAGAAAAAACAAACTCTTTTAATTTTTTTTGTTTTAATTTTGCTTTTTCAATTACAACAATAAAGGTTTATTTAAGTTACTTCATATCAATATTGAACTTGCCAGTGGTTATAAAAGCATATTAAAATTTATTGTCTATATTTATGGGAAGGTATAAGATATTTCTGTAAATAGCGAACGAAAGTAATATATTTTTTATTTGACGAAAAATTCATTTATGTTAGTTTTTTTTAGAATTCATTGATTACACAAAGATTATGATAATGTTAAAAGTCCTATTAATATTGTTTTAACTTATTGAGCATGTTGTATTGTTCTTTTATTTAAAGAACTTTTATACAGCCTCTCAAACCAGTCTTTAGAAGATTTTGACTCTAGAAATAAAACAATGGTTTACCAATCCGAGAACTTCTTGGGATAAGTGCTAAAAAAAGGTATAGTCTTAAAAGGTTTGCCGGGGATTCTAAATTTAGAGAGAGATACTTATCTATAACAGTTATTGATTATCATAATAATAGTCTTTAAAAGATTTTAAATTTTCATGTCTCTCAAAAAGGGTTTTAGTGCAGCTGCCAACATTTTTCATAAAACAGCACATTAAATACTAGTTGAGAAAATTTATGGTAAAGCCTGATTCACTTTAAGTCGAATATTAAAGCTTTAATAAATATAAAGCATCAGATTCATCCATCATCTTTCACATTAAACAATGTGTTTTATATTAAACTTATGTAAGAATGCTACAAGATTTGCTTTCAATGCAGTTTCAATGAATAAAAATGCATTAATGAAAATTTCAGTTTAAAAATTTAGCAGGCTGCAAAGGAAGTTTGCTGCTTGCCCAAGAGGTGAAAACTATCAAGTCCTCCAAAAAAACAGTGATTCTTTGAGAGAAAGTCTAACATGCTAATGAGAAGAGGCAGTCAGGGACTCGGGAACCCAACATCATACCAAATTTGGTAAAGGAGAAAAAAGTTCAGGACTGAAGGCGGTGTCAGAATGTTATGGGGAATGACAACAAACTGGATTGAGCCAATTGAATGTGTCACTCAAGATATGAAGGTGGTTCAAAGTCATGGTAAAAAAAAAAAAAAAAATGAGACTGGGAGAAAGCTAACCTTGAAAGAGTAAAAGTGACCTTGACTCACAAAAAGAGGAATGATGACAAAAATATTCCAATGCAAGAAAAGTTTGATTAAATTTATTTTTAAAGGTGGATGGAGTATTTAAAAATTAAATGCACTAAAAAAGAAAGAAAAAACAAATTGCACAAGAAAAGAGAGATTGAATTAATAATATAAAAATGGTCACACATCACTGTAACATTATAGTTCATGAATAAACTTCCACAGGCTTGATTTAGAGAATTCAGATTCATATATAAATAAACTGTACTTTTGTGTCAACTGTAAATTTACCTAAGCTTTTTGAAGTTATTTATAACTATAATGGTCTACTGGGGTTAAATTCTGTGGAACGTGCAAAAATGAGATTTGTACTTCCAAAATTTAAAAAAAAAAAAAAAAATACATTTGCTCTAAAAAGAAAAAATTACCTCCCAAAAACTAATAATATGCCCCATAAAATGAAAAACTTATTCTAATATTGCATAAGTATCCAAAAATGCAAATGCCATCAAAATCTTTATTTTAACTACAATATGTTGTAGGCCAAAAGTAGACCATATGCTATTGAAATTTACAATGCCTTTACAATTGTGGATAATCTTTTTAAGTTTATCAAATAAATTTTATGAAGTAGCTGTTGCTGCCTTTAATGACTGTGCCTAATGTTTGTCATTTAGTCTATTAAAGAATTAAAAAAGCTTCATTAATTATCAATTATAAATTGAAAATATTTAAATTCTGAAAAGGTTTAGTTTAAATAATATAATTAACTAAGTTTTTAAACATATTTTAGAAATATGAATTCATTTATGATTTGTTAAAATTATTTTCTCTACCAACTGTGTTACTGTGCAACTGTTTTCTCTACCAAATTACTGTTTTGTTCATAATATTTTGATGAACTTAAAGCCTGCTACAATAGTTAAAGAATTAGATTTTTTTTTTATTTTTATAAAAAATTTTCTTTTTATCGTGAAGTTTCTCAAATTTTCTGTTAATAATTCCTTTTTTATTTTAAAATTTCTTTGTTAAAAAGCATACATTTTATTTGCTATTTATTATTATTTCTTTCTTTCTTATAGACTAACTTTAGATTACTGAGAAATAAATTTTATAAATTAATTAGTAGAATATTGATTGCCATAAATATTGACCATGTTTTTAAATTATTTTTATTTTACATATTTAAAAAATAGATCATTTAAAAAAAAATGAAAGTAAAGACTTGTAACATTCATTTTAAAAAGAAGAAAAGTTTGGTTTTCTGTAATAACAATATAAATTCTGTAATAGCATAAAGTTATTAATTTAAATTAAATCTTTTACGAACAGAAAAAAAGGAATATTTATAACGCATTGTGCATGAAAAGAATGCTTATTAAAGCTTTGTATGGATTTGATTTGGCATAAGTGCAGCAATACATTAATAAATTTTATGAATAATATTGAATTTTATCTGTTTATATAAATTTGTTACAAATAACATTTAAACTGATTGTTTTTACAATTACGAAACAAAGTCTTTCTTATTTTAGGGTGGCAGAAATATACATTACTGCAAAATAGTTTGTGAACCACCCTGGTGTTATTATTTGAACCAATTTTTGACTGGCTTTCCTCTGCAGGGCCTCAGAATCATGCCCAAAAGAGGTCTGGATGTTTTGCGAGGTGAAGAATTTTGTTTCTACAAACTACATGCTGTCAAACCACTCTGAAACTATTTCTATGATTCTGCCGAGAAAAGTAAGTTGTTAATAAGTCATATTAATTAAATTATTTATTTCCATTTATGATACAATATCCTTATAAAATTCATATAAAACTGTAAATTATAAGATTTTAAATTTATAAGAAGCTTGAAAATTTAATAACTTTTGACCAAATATGGATAGTATGCTTTATAATGATTTAGTTATTATTGAGAGCATAACTATCTGGAAATTAAACTTTCTTGAAAAAAATTAAGAAGTGTTATCTATTAGAATTACTGTATATTTTTTTTACCTCTTTAACTAGTACCTAATATGATTTGGACTAAAAATATGTAAATGAAGATAAATAGAAAAATGCATTAACAGATTTTAACGAAAGGGCATTTTATTACTCCTTTTGGAAAAGAAAATTCATTAATCTGAAAATAGATTTGCTTTAAAAAATATGCATATGCTGTCTAATTTACTGCATGTTATAAAATCATTGAAATTTCGCATGTTTCTTGAGCTTAATTTCACTATAAATTGTTTTTGGGGTTACTGAGGCGTTATCATAGAGTCACTTAGACAGAGTAACCCAGGTCAGAGGAAAGATGCTGTACAAACATAACTTTGATTGGGGGTTTAGCACAAGGTTGATCACTTTGCCAAAACAAATTTCCCTAACTACTTGGTTGAGAAAGCAGTGAAAAGAAACAAAGGTTAGCCACAAGATAGCCAGATCTAAAACAGATGGAGATTCATAGTGTTCGATTAATGTCACATGAAGAAAATGAAAGGCTTGATGTACAACAGGCTGTAGNCCCTAACTACTTGGTTGAGAAAACAGTGAAGTGAAACAAAAGTTAGCCACATGATAGCCAGATCTAAAACAGATGGAGATTCATAGTGTTCGATTAATGTCACATGAAGAAAATGAAAGGCTTGATGTACAACAGGCTGTAGTGCTTAGAAGTGTTGAAATACCTTATCCTTACGTAATGTATACCTTACTATCTATACCTTTAGTGAAATATTACATTAACTACTAAGGATGCTTTTGTTTCTTAAGAGAAAACATTTAATAATTTTAAAAACTGGCACCAAAAATTTTTTTTTTTAATAAAGCCGAACCTCTTGAACTCGAAATTGACAACAAAAATTTAATATAATAATTATTTANCTAATATGATTTGGACTAAAAATATGTAAATGAAGATAAATAGAAAAATGCATTAACAGATTTTAACGAAAGGGCATTTTATTACTCTTTTTGGAAAAGAAAATTCATTAATCTAAAAATAGATTTGCTTTAAAAATATGCATACGATGTCTAATTTACTGCATATTATAAAATCATTGAAATTTTGCACGTTTCTTGGGCTTAATTTCACTATAAATTGTTTTTGGGGTTACTGAGGCGTTATCATACAGTCGCTTAGACAGAGTAACTCAGGTCAGAGGAAAGATACCGTACAAAGATAACTTTGATTGGGGGTTTAGCACAAGGTTGATCACTTTGCCAAAACAAATTTCCCTAACTACTTGGTTGAGAAAACAGTGAAGAGAAACAAAGGTTAGCCACATGATAGTCAGATCTAAAACAGATGGAGATTCATAGTGTTCGATTAATGTCACATGAAGAAAATGAAAGGCTTGATGTACAGCAGGCTGTAGTGCTTAGAAGGTAGAAGTGTTGAAATACCTTATCCTTACGTAATGTTTACCTTACTATCTATACCTTTAGTGAAATATCACATTAACTACTAAGGATGCTTTTGTTTCTTAAGAGAAAACATTTAATAATTTTAAAAACTGGTACCAAAATTTTTTTTAATGCAGCCGAACCTCTTGAACTCGAAATTGACAACAAAAAATTTAATATCATAATTATTTATGTTAGCCAGATTTCATCTTATCCAATACATTATGAAAACAATTTATTTCATACTATTAATACATATCGTGTACTACACTTATGTCCCANTTTTAAGTTTTAATCTGTAGTCTTCTTTGTGTTAGAAAGTTTTTTTCATGTAATTAGCAAAAGAAATAGTATTAAGGAAGAAATATTCCCCCAAAATTTGTGAAACCTTTTAACAATTAAAATAATTTTTTTTTACAGTTTAAAGACGTTTTAAAACTTGAAGAAGATATTCATCATGTTCGACTGGCAGCAAAAGTCAAGTGCGAACTACTCATATATTTTGTTTTAGTCTGCGCTAAATTTCTTAATTTTATTAATTATAAGATGATTTCTTTTAATTTTAAATTCTTTAAAACCTTTGTGTTTTCTTTAAGAGTTAAGTTAATACGAGTTTGCAAATTATATGTAACTTAATTTGTATGTTAAAATGCATTTTACTATTGCTTATTGCTTGGGGTACACATACCACACTTTGGGAAGCACTGCTCTAGTGATTTAAAACACAGAAGATGTACTAATTAAAATTAAATTAAGCTATAAATCTACCTCAGTAATAATTTTCACCATCTTGGTTGAAATGAGATTAGGATAAACATAATAAATGTATGAAATTGAAATTACTACTAAGGATGCTTTTGTTTCTTAAGAGAAAACGTTTAATAATTCTAAAAACTGATACCAAATTTTTTTTTAATGCAGCCGAACCTCTTGAACTCGAAATGGACAACAAAAAATTTAATATCATAATTATTTATGTTTGCCAGATTTCATCTTATCCGATACATTATGAAAACAATTTATTTCATACTATTAATACATATCGTCTACTACACTTATGTCCCAAACAAATTAAAATAAGCTTAAAAATTTTAATAATTTCATTTAACTATTTTATTTATTTGCCCATCTGCTACTCCTAACAAAGGTGGATAATAGAAATAGCATTCCTCAAAATGAATAATTGACACATTATGCACGTGCTTCTGATCTGTGTTGTGACCTTTCATGTCAGCTTGAAATTTTCATATTAAATATGCTAAATGTAGTAATAATTGATTGCTGACTAATGGGACCAAGTATATATTTCATATAAAGCGATATTTCACCCTAAGTGATTTCGCATTAGTGAGGTTTGACTGTATTTCTTTTTTTTTTCATATGAAAAAACTTTGATATTTTTACCTTTTTCGTTCATAGGAAAAATGATAAACACAAAGGAATAAAAGATATTGTAATTAACATATTTACAACTAATTTCGTAACTACCCTTGGAAATTCTCTTAAGCTCTACTTTAAAACAGAGAATTCCTTTTTTGATTCTAGTTACTGTTTTACCCTCTGCCTGGCAATGTATTCGTCATGATGTCTTATTGTAATTGTCGCTTAACTTGATGGTATTTCTTGATTTTATACACTAAGTAACAAAAATATATCATAACTGGCTTTATATATTTACTTATGTATTATATTAAAAACTTATTTTTATTAGTCTGAACTTATTAGTCAGAGCAATTTCAAGAAGATTTGTTCCTGACACTGAATAGAAAAAAAAACTAAAATCTATTCTGATATCTATGAAATTAAAGTACTAGTCATTGTATGTTTCATTGTAACTCTGGATAAAAAAAAATATTTAAAATGCGTAGCTGTCAGCTTTCATGAAAAGATTGGAGAATTCAAATTGTTTTTGAAAATATTACTACAAATACTATGTTACATTTTAATTCAGTTGAATTTTAGTAAATGTTTTAACTGTGATTTTTTTATTTAATCCAGCATTCAGATAAATTTTTGAAGCAACAGATTTAAAATTCCACTTAGTGCTGTTGGAATTTTAATATTGTCAGAATTGTGGTTTACTTTGAAACATTTTTGAACTCATTTTTGGTTTACTTTAAAATAACAAGGAAAAGCCCCTATCTACTCCAAAATGTTTCTTTTTATGTCATATATATATATATATATTTTTAGTTTTGTGAAGAAAAAAAAGCATCATNTTTGAAATATATTTTTGAAATTATAAAATATTTACAATTATGAATCTAGATATATTTTAGCCAATAGTGATGTCTCTAAATATTTTCAATGAAATTGAAGATATATAAAGATTATGATATATAGACTTGTTTAAAAATGTTTCATGTGTTTTGAAAAATTTACGAGGGTTGTAAATTAAATAGTGGCAACTTAACCTTGAAACTCACAGAAGGGCTGGCATGCGCAAATAGGATATGGGAGTGGTGAGGTGGCGCTGTTGTCGATGTGTAGAGTGCAAAATACAGTCGATCTGCTTAGAAGGGTAGTTGTTGTGTGTCGTTAAAGTGAGGAGTTTCGTTTCAATTGCTCTAAAGCATGTTTTTAAAAAGCTTAATGACGAAAAAGACGAGATGCTTGAACCCATCGTGCTACTGTCCAATACAGTAAAGAATTTGCGACACAAGCTTCCACTTATCCTCGATAGCATTCTGATGCATTTTTGCCACGAGCAACCTCGATTTTAAGCGACGACAGCTGATCTCATTTTTAAAACATGCTTTAGAGCGATGGAAACGAAACTCCTCACTTTAACAACACACAACAACTACCCTTATAAGCAGATCGACTGTATTTTGCACTCTACACATCGACAACAGCGCCACCTCACCACTCCCATATCCTATTTGCATTGCGTGAGTTTCAAGGTTAAGTTGCCACTATTTAATTTACAACCCTCGTAAATTTTTCAAAACACATGAAACATTTTTAAACAAGTCTATATATCATAATCTTTATATATCTTCAATTTCATTGAAAATATTTAGAGATATCTCTATTGGCTAAAATATATCTAGATTCATAATTGTAAATATTTTGTAATTTCAAAGATATATTTCAAACTGTTTCAAAGTACTCAGTCACTTTTTTCAATGATAATATAATAATAATTAAAATAGAAAACTAATGAACTTTTCTGGAATACAATTAATTAAATTTTAAAACAAAACGTATATGTAAATAGCATGTTGATTTCTCTCTGTTTATTAGTTATGGATTAAAAACATGTGTAATGAAATATTCTTGCTGCATTTTATATTTTTTTAAGTGTTAAAATTTATGTATTATTTAAAAAGTTGTACTATTTTTTT